CCCCGCTGGCTGGCCCATGATTCAACCAAGGATCTTGCAATGCATTTATTTGTTACCTCTGCTTTGTTTCTTGGAGTCCTGGAGTCCTGGTGTGAGCTAATGCATCAGACTGCAAAGGACGCTGTGAGCTAATGCATCAGACTGCAAAGGTCGGTGGTTCAAGCTCACCAGCTGCTTCTTGAAAACTCTATACAGGGTCGTTATGGGTCCGAATCGACTCGACGACACTTAACAACAACTTTGTTTCTTCTAATAGGTAGCAGTTTCTCAGTATTTCGTTCCCATAATGATGACATAGGGTTTCTGAGGCTATAAATCTTTATGGGAGCAGAAAGTGTCATCTTTGTCCTGTAGAGCAGCTGGTAGGTTTGAACTGCTGACCTTGTGATTACCAGTTCAATACTTATTTTACACTGGGGTCGGGTGGGGTGGGGTGGGGCAAGAGGCATTTGGAGACTATATAATATGCTGTGTGATTATTGGTTACAATGGAACACATGATTTATTAACTGATAACTGCATACTAATGAATATTTCATTATTTTTAACACTTGCAAGAACTTGGATTCTGAAAAATCACAATTTTCATGGTTTTACAAATTCATTAATAAAACTGAATGTTTAACCCATGGGTTTTATAAATGATAATGTAACAAATGGCAAATGTTTTAACATTTAAAAATAGAACAAAAATTGAAAGTCTTGAATATTACGCTAGATGTATTGTTAAATTTGCTTGGCATTTACAAAACCAGCTGTTCAACAATACATCTGGTTCTTATCCAATGATTTTTCATTTTATTTACCTCAGTGTTTGCTAAGAGATTTACTAGAAGGTGGACTGAGCTCTCCATTGAATGTACTGCAAAGAAAATAAATTTCTTGTGGGTGAAATTTAGAGATCTTTTCATCAGTGGGTTATTTGACTATCAAGCATTTTGATCAATGTCATTTGAAGATTAAATTACTCTGCAGATTTTCTCAAACCTTTATTATCTTACATGGAAAATTAGTCTGCCATTCCGTCTCATTATTTAAAAACTTTTTTTTATTGCATCTTATTCTTGATGTCAATTTTAATTTTGCTATAAAGAAGTAACTTTTGGCTTTTTTGGAATCACCAATCTTTTTGATTAATACCTAGGAACTCTTTTCCCAGAAAAATGCACACATCTTATAATTAATTAGAGAAAATTCAATATCAAATTAGGGGAGGAAGAAGAGAAGGCGTTGATGGGGCTGCCTGGGTTGTCAGGTTTCCCAGACAGTTTACCCTCCTGCCATATGGCACAGGTCGCCTATTTGGCAGTTCAGGTGGGCCTCTAAGGCCATCTGGCTCCCTGTGATTTCCCTCCGAACCGATTCCTCTAATCCCAGTATTATCCTCTCCCCCATTATCACTTAGTCGGCCAGCCTCCCTGGCTGGCCCTCCTTTCTTTACAAGGGCCTCCTGTCACTGGCTCTTTCTCTCAGCTCTCTCACCAGCCAGCTGTTTAGAAAGATAACTAAAAGCTCAAGTGAGACAACCTAACCACATCCCTACGGATAAAGCAGAGAAGAAACACGTCAAGACTCTCTTTTCATCAGCATAAGAAATCTTGCCACGTTTCCCCCCGTGTGTTTGAAGATGAAGAGCTTCCGGAACACGTCTAAAATCAATCCACACACGATGATCCGTCCCAATGAAGAGAAGGTGGGAGAGTTACTGCAAAGGCAGGGTGGAGATGGAAAAGGGAAGTGAGGGAAGGGGATCAGCACCAGATATAAGGAAATATTTTTGTTTCTGAAAATAGAAAGGCTGTCAACTCCCAGAACCCGCTTCTTCTCCCGCCAAATTCCTTGCCACCTGCAGTTGGACTAACGCGCCCGCACCCGCGCCCGCGGTAAAGCTTGGCGCTCCATTGCGCGCCGCAGCCTGGCGGAGCGGGGCGGGGCGGGACGCCGGCGAGAAAGGCGGGTTCTTGAGCGCTGGGGAAACCCTTCCGGGCTCTGGCGTCATTGCAGCGCCGGCCAATGAGAAGCGAAAGCGGGGAATTCCCGCTTCCGTGGCCGCTCAGTCGGCTTTTTAAACCCGACCCTAGGGACGCTCTTCAGGAGCTAACCGAAGAGTAGAGAGAAACAGAGGCTGGGGCGTAGAATAAGAGCACTCTGGGGAATGGGACTCCAGAGGTTTGACAGTAAAATGTCCAGGTTGATTTAGATCGCGGGGGGTGGGGTGGCGGAAGTGGGGAGAAATCGGGAAGCCGTGGAGGAGAGACCAAACTCAGGTCAGGTCGAAGTCCTTAGTAGGTGGAGTGGAAACTGGAGCGCACTGCCCCGCGGAGGGTCCGCACCGAGGAGCAGATGCTGTGGGTGAGCACTTCAGCCCACTCTATGGGGCTGCAGGCTGCAGGCACCGTTTGTAACACCTGTTTAGGATGAAGAGGTGGGGCAACACTCTAGACTAGGATAGTAATTTTGAATTGCAGCAATTTAGTTATATTCTAGAGGTGACCGATTGCTTTTAAAAAAATGAGTGTGGTTTTCACAAGCTCAGGATCTAGCTACATTCCACACTCAACAAGGTGGTTTTCCTTAACTGTTTCTCCCTCATTATGTTATAAATGTTTTCAAAGGAGAGTGTCATGGGGGTGCTCGCCCAAGACCTGAAGCAGAAGTCAAAGTTCCTCAAAGGTGAGTGTCCAGTGCTTGTTCTCGTTCTTTCCTTTTTGTATCGTGAACAAATAATTCTTGTTGCAGAAAGTACGTATTTGTAGGAGATACAGTGTCTGACAAAATGAGTTATATAAGGTGCAGTCCAGTGGCGACGCTATGTAAATAGAACGAAGCTCTGTCCGTCCTAATGATGCTTTCCTCAAAATACTGAAAAGCATATATTTTTTTGGAAAAAGAAATATGTTGTTATTTAATGTAGGGTAGATTCCGACTAATGATGATCCCTTGGGCTTTCAAGGTTCTGACCTTTTAGAAGCAGTTCCTAGGCCTGTCTTCCAAGGTATCTCTGGGTGGTTTCCAACTGCCAACTTTTTGGCTAGTAGTCAGTTGCTTGCCAGTTGTGTCACCTGGGGACTTAAAACCAAACAAGCAAACAAGACAAAACCCCAAATCTAATTATCTACTTAAACAAATTATGTAGTAAACTGACAACCCCTGACAAATACTCGCCATCATTGGTGATTTCTAGTTTTTGCTTCAACAGTAAGGGATGAAGCATGAATGTGCCAGGTAATTGCATTTTAACAGTTGCTAACTGTACTGCTCTCTTGTTGCATTGGAGTCCTGGTGTGGCATGTTGGGATAAAGCACTGTACTTCACCAGCCGCTCCTTGGAAACCCTATACAGGGTCACTATGAGTCAGAACTGACTCTATGGCACTTAATAACAACAACTTGTTGTATTAGGAGACCTGGTGGTGCAGTGATTAGGAACACAACTGCTAACCCAAAGATCAGTAGTTCAAACGTACTCAGGTTTGTGGGGTAAAGATGAGACAGTCTGTTTCCTTAAAGGTTTACAGCATTGGAAACCCTATGGGGTAGTTTTACTCTGTCCTAAAGGAGCTCTGGTAGCGTAGTGGTTACGACTCGGGCTGTGAACCGCAAGGTCAGCAGTTCGAAACTACCAGCTGCTCCGTGGGAGAAAGATGAGGCTTTCTACTCCCGTAAAGATTTACACCCTCGGAAACCCTGTACAGGGTCGCTATGAGTCGGTTCCGACTCCACGGCACATAACAACAACAACAACAACAAAGGACCCTATGGAGTCCTGGTATGGCACTGTGGGTTAATGCACTGGACTGCAAAGTTGGTTTGAACAGCCAGATCGGAAGGTCAAACTCACCAGCTACTCCTTGAGGTCTCTTTGGGTGAGAACTGACTCAGCAACACTAACAACAACCACAACAATGAGTTGGAATGAATGGCAGTGATTTCAACCGCTCTTTTTCTCCCTTGTTGCATTCATAGCATCTCCCCACAAACAATAAATGGAAATGGTGCCATCTTGTGGACAATGTGTAGAAGTGGAACTTTAGGTTAACTACTTGGAAAGACTGTGAATCACAAGGCCTGCAAGCAGTTCAAGCCACCTTTGAAACCCTATATAGTGTCACTATGAGTCGGAACTGACTCAATGGTGCTTAACAACCAATTGAAAGGTAGTACTTTTCCACCTTGAGAGACCAAACCCCAACACCTTCTCATGAAATCAGTGTAAAAATCAAACAAATTTAAATGATTTTTTTCACATTCTTTTTTTTTCCTTTGCACAAACAGCCTTCATATGCTTACAGTCTTTCATCATCACCATTTACCTTACTCCTCTCTAGACGAAATCATCCAGATTCCTTCAACCATTAAATTCGTAGACTCTAGTTTCAAACACGTCATCATTTTTATAGCCTTTCCCAGGTATTCTCTAAATTTTTATGTATTCAAGTGAATTGAACACTTAATTTACTGCACTTTTAGGACACGATGACTAATGCCATTTTTAGTGGTGAAAAAACTAATGACATTTGTTGTTGTTTTAGGTGTTGTTTAGTCGTTTTGGACTCATTGTGACCTACTTGACAGAGCACAAAAACTCTTCCATAAGGTTTTCTGGTGTGGCGCTGTGGGTTATTGCGCCAGACTGCAAAGCCGTTTGAACTGCACGGTTGGCGATTGAAGCTCCCCAGCTGCTCCTTGGAAACCTTTACAGGGTTGCTATGGGTCGAAATCGACTCAACAGCACTTCACAACAACCACCACCTTTACAGGAGTGGATTACCAGGTCTGTCTCCCCTGGGGTCGCTGGGTGGGTTTAAACTGCCAAACTTTTGGTTACCACAAGAGCTCCTTTAATGACATTTAAACCCTTTCAATTCCATACTTTAATACTGATTTATTTCTTGCACGTTATTTCAGTTTTGTCTCATGCCACGACTCTTGGTATTTTACTACCAAATGCAGATAGCTGATGTAACAGAAGTAACTTGAAGAGTTATAACATATTTTTACTATTCAATCTTTGAATCGGGTAAGCCTAAGTATAAGTATTCTGAGAAACCGTTAAGGTTTTAATTGTTGTTGTTGTTATGTGCCGTGGAGTCGGTTCCGACTCATAGCGACCCTGTACAGGGTTTCCGAGGCTGTAAATCTTTACGGGAGCAGAAAGCCTCATCTTTCTCCCGCGGAACAGCTGGTAGTTTCCAACTGCTGAACTTGCGGTTCGCAGCCTGATTTGTAACCCCTACCAGAGGTTTTGATTAGATGAAAGCAGATACCAAATTAATTTCTCTTAATCATTTTGGAGGAATAGATTGTGTTTATAACTTCTCTTGAATGTAACTGTTAAGATTAAAGTTGTACCACTATTTGTCATGTGAGAAATTTAGCCTCAGCGACTACATACACCATGATCTGAGTCAGGTAGGCAGTGTATTGTTAGCTGGCTGCTCTGGGTAAATTCAGCAGCCACGACTACCCTGCCACTTGCTTCTGGATAAACTCATCATGTTGGTGGAGAGCGTTGTTTCCTAGGTGTGATGGGTAGGCAGTGTATTGTTAGCTGGTTGAATATGTAAGTGGCATCAGCTAACATGCAGCTGCTAACTTATTGCATACACTGTGAACATCAGAGGAGACTTCAATGTGTACATCTAATTTCTGTAAATGGATACTTTTTCTATGACCCAGGGCACTGTTGACTGTATTGGTTATGGTTGTTACTCCAGTCACTCAATTCTAATACAGTAGACAGCTTTATAATGGCAAGGGAACTACTCCAATTAGTCACTGAAAATAACTGCAAAGAATAGTTTTGGGTAGATTGTGCTAAAGTATTTGTGAAATGGTATATTTTATTTTTTCATTTACAATTTAGAAAATACTGACAGTTTGGAATGGTAAACTTAAAATGTTTCCTCAGATTTTCAATAAAAGTATTTAGTATTCTCTCTGGCCAATGAGTTTCTGAATAGGAAATTAGAAGAGGTCTCTATAACTGTGTGTATGTACCAGCCAAAGAGAGAATTAATGTAACTTTCTACGTGAGTCAGTCAATTAAAACATTTTTTACTTGAAATATCAAAAAAAAAAAAAAAGGCATTATTTTGCTTTCTTTTTGTGTGTGGGAATAGGGTTGAATTGTTTGGAAGATTTGCTTAATTCTTCACTTCATTTTCTGTAAAAATCACAGGCGTAGAAGATGTTTGGAAGAGTGCACATTTCACTTGTTTAGTGGGAAGAACTGCCTATACAATATGGTTTAGAATGTTTTCTGCTTCACTTGAAGGCCACTTGAAGTGTCAGCTGTGTGTGGGTCCCCGCCAGGCAGCATACTCAAGTAGAAATTCGTAGTGAAGTAGGATAGCTGATTGGTGGTCAGTTAGTTACACCCTAAATTAGGTGTAAGGAGCTCTGGTAGCGTAGTGGTTACGAATTGGGCTGCTAATCTCAAGGTCAGCAGTTCAAAACTACCAGCTGTTCTGTGGGAGAAAGATGAGGCTTTCTGCTCCCATAAAGATTTACAGCCTCAGAAACCCTATGCAGGGTCGCTGTGATTTGGAACCGACTCACATAGGCACCACAACCACCCAAGTTAGGTATGAAAATGTATCTATTGGGTGAGAAGTTATTGGTCAGATACTTTTAATTTTTCCTTTATTAAACATATTTTTGGAACATGGGTGCATGAATAATTCCTTTAGAAAGATCAGCACAAGGCTGGTTCCTATGAATTGGAGGTTGAAGATATCCCAACTGTTTGACTTTTCTGACAAGTTACACCACTCCAGAGTCCTTGATATCAATCACCACTCCTTCCTTTCCTCAAGTCCTGGGGCTCTGTAACATGCTGCAATGTTTCACAAAACTCAAAATTGTCAAAAGAAATGGCTCACGCAATTGTGGAGGCTGGCAAGTCCCAAATCTGTACTTCAGAGATGAGTGTGGTTAGATGGTTATCACCCAGGTTAGATGACAGGCTGTTGATGTCTGAGGCTGTGGGAGCTGGAGAATCAGGTCAGGTGATGAGCTGAAGGTCCGACGAACTGGAAGTCAGATGCTATGAGCCAGAAGCAAGATCCAAGGCAAAAGAGAATAAACTTTTTTTTTTTTTTAATAAAATCAAGAAAATTAAAAATAAGCTGATTAAAACAAAGATTAATAGAGACAGCAGAGTTCCCACATGAGATCCCTCCTGGGGTCTTGTGTTACAAAAGGGGGGACCCATTGTGGCCCTGTTTGTTTAGGGTCCTTCATGTTCAGGGTCCCTCGCATGGCCTCCGCCATCTCCTACCTTTTCATTTTTTAAAATGAAGCGTACGGACCTTTTGTTGAACAGCTGTAATGGTTAACTTTAGAAAAAATTAACTTAAGTATGATTGCAAAAATAGATTCATTAATGATTAGTGTTCAAAAGGAACTAGTTGAGACTGTGTTCTTAATAGAATTGACGAAGATACAGCCACCTGTTCTAAGGAGGTGGATTGTAAGTGTGGCTGACTAATGGATCTAATTTGTGAATGTAAAGCTTGCATATTGAATGCAATGTCTACGTTGTTTCAAATGCCTTTAAGATGAGCCTGACTTTGAGGCCAGGTAATATCTGTGCCATTGTAGGACAGAGGTGTTACACATATCCACTTGTAATTATGATGACATGCAGTAGTCATTTTA